CTTAGACTGAGGCCCTGCAAAACACACAGGTCAGGAGACCAGGTGTTGGCAAGGTTTATGTGGTCTTCTGGGGGAGGGTGCCTGCAGCCCTGGGACTGAGGCAGGCTCCGCTGGAGGGGGTGGGGTTTGGTGTAAGCAAGTTAGGTGGTGAATGTCACTGGTTTCCACGGGTGACCATGTGTTTACGCTGGGGGGCAGGGAGATGGCGCCTGCCAGCTCATTGGTTTCTAGAGAAGTCCCTCGGCCATCCCTGTCCCTCTAGGACATGAGCTGAAATGAGGAAACTACTCTCCATCCCCTCTGTCCCAGGCATTTTTCAAATTGCTGCCTCTCTGCTAAATAGGTGTGGGCTCTTTGTCAGGCTGTCTCTTTAAGGGCAGGGTCTTAGCTTCCTGTTGCCCTCCAGGCTCTCCCGGAACTGAGCCTACTGATTTTTAAAATGCCAGGCTTTCAGCCCCACTGGTTGTAAGAACTCATGAAATTCAGCCCCTCTCCCTTTCAAAGCCAAACTTATGGGTATCTGTCTTCGCCCTGTGGGCTCCCAGCTATGTTAATCTGTTTCTCTCCCGTTTCCACCCCAGTGGCTCCCTCCCTACGGCAGATGAGGATGCTGTCAGTTTTGCTTTCCACCGCATGTCTGCCCTTCCTACCCTCTTCAGTGTGGTCGCTGCTCTACCTTTAGTTGTGGAGTTTGTTCTGCCAGTCTTTAGGTTGTTTTCTGGGTTATTTATGATGATGAGAGTGTTACCTAATTATATCCGTGGGACAGGGCGAGCTTAGGGTCCTCTTATTTCCACCTTCCCAACCTGGGAAAGTTTTTCTCTTAACTCTTCTCTTTTCTTTCAGAGGTAAGGTCCTTCCTTTGGAACTTACTTTTTTTTACCAGGTTTATTCAGATATAATGGACAAAAACTGCATAACTTTAAGGTGTACAATGCATATCATTGATTTCATGTACATGTATAGTGAACTGACTACCACAATAAGATTAGTTAACACTTTCATCACCTCACAGTTACCTGTGTGTGTGTGTGTGATGAGAATATTTAAGATCTACTCTCTTAGTAAATTTCAATTATACAGTCTAACATTGTTAGTTATAGTCACCACACTGTACGTTATTAGATCCCCACATCATCGTAACTGAAAGTTTATAGCCTTTTACCAACATCTCTTCATTTCCCCCACCCCCAGGTCTGGGCAAATACCAATTTACTCTGTTTCTATGAGTTCAGCTTTTTTAGATTTCACATATAAGTGAGATAAAGTATTTCTTTCTCTATCTGATTTATTTTGTTAGTATAATGCCCTTAAGATTCATTCATGTTGTCACAAATTGCAGGGTTTCCCTCTTTTCATGGCTGAATAATATTCTATTATATATGTACCACTTTTTTTTTTTTCAATTTTTCTTTTTTGAGTATAGTTGACACACAATGTTACATTAGTTTTAGGTGTACAACTTAGTGATTCTGACAAATTTATACATTATGCCACAAGTATAGCTACCATCTGTCCCATTACATCACTATTACAATATCATTGATCGTTGGGGCATCTGGGTGGCTCAGTCGTTAAGCGTCTGCCTTCGGCTCAGGTCATGATCCCGGGGTCCTGGGATAGAGCCCCACAATGGGCTCCCTGCTCAGAGGGAGCCTGCTTCTCCCTCTCCTGCTCCCACTCCCCCTGCTTGTGTTCCCTCTCTCGCTGTGTCTCTCTCTGTCAAATAAATAAAATCTTTAAAAAAAACAAAACAAAACAATATCATTGATTGTATTTCTTATGCTGTGCCTTTTATTCCCCTGACTTATTCATTCCATAACTGGAGGCCTGTATCTCCCTCTCCCCTTCACCCATCTCCCCTTCCCTCTGGCAAACGTCAGTTTTTCTCTGTATTTATAGGTCTGACTCTACTTTTTGTTTATTCATTTGTGGGGTTGTTTTTTTTTAGATTCCACTTGAGTGGAATCATATGGTATTTGTCTTTCTCAGTCTGACTTATTTCACTTAGTATAATACCCTCTAGGTCCATTCTTGTTGTCTTAAATGGTACAATCTAATCCTTTTTATGGCTGCATAATGTTCCATTATGTGTGGGTATATATAAATACCACATTTTCCTTACCCATTCATCTACTGATAGACACTTAGGTTGCTTCCATATCTTGTCTATTTTAAGTAGTGCTGCAATAAGTATAAGGGTGCATGTATCTTTTCGAATTAGTGTGTTTATATTCTTTGGGCAAATACCCAGCAGTGGAATTCGAAGAAAGTGAATGATAACCCAAGAATGGCCTGAGGGAAGTTAGTGGGAGAGTGTGATTTAAAATAACTGTTCTGGGGCTTAAGTTTACTGAACAGTCCATAGTGGAATATGGCCCTGATTTGGACAGTCTTTTCATTTCTTTGGTGTTTGGTTCTACTTTATAGATTTCCCTGATTTTCCAACTTTCCTTTTTAAATTTGTCATATTTTGCCTGTTTTTAAGTTACTTCATATTTTCTCATTCTTTTTTTAATAGTGTCCTATTCTTGTTTCAGAGATACTAAATCTAGTCTTAGCTCTAAGAATATTGGTTATAGTTGGGTATATTTTTATTTAAGGGAGGATAGATTTTTTTTAGTTTTTTGTATTGTTACTGTTATTTTGTTGTTTTAGTTCTTCTGTTTCCTAACAATTTCTCTTTCTGTGTTGTAATTTTTGTTCTCTGTCATGGCAGATCTCAAATGGCTAATGGTCTTTGGTTGTCCACACTCAGTTTTTTGGAAGCACTGGAGTCAGGGCTTATAGACGGACAGATTTTACTGTAATGAGAAGGCACCAATCTGCCTTTTCAACTAGGGGATCCCCCAGATGAAATTGAAATGTTTTATTAGGTCTTTTCTCTTGGATTGGTAAGTTTTTCTAGAGAAATCTTTGAATCTTCCATCAGCTTTCTAGAAACCGTGTTGCAGAAGGAGACTTGGAAGGTCTTACTTACCATTTATGATGTCTTTTACTTAATCCCTGTCTTTTCATAATCTTATTCTTAGCTGTGACTGATGCTTCTGGTTCCAGGTCCTCCATGGTTCAGCCTCACCCAAGATTAACTTCATTTTTTGGAATGAGGAAGAACAGAAGTCTGATTGTGGGTATTAAAGAAGGAAATCTAGGGGTCTTAATCAGACCCCTTAAAAATTTTTAGCCAGACTTCTTTTTTGCACAACTACCCTATACCCATCTTTTAAGATGATCAGTACCTTCCATTCTCAGGTCTTTCTGGGGTCCCAGAACTCCTGGGCTTGCTGTTTTATTGGTAGCCTGTCTGCCCATTTCAGGCTTAGCTTTAGCATTGTCTGGCCTGCTAAATCAGTTATCCCTTGTGTACCTTATTTCCACTTTTAAAATTTTATTGACATCTCTTATCTTCTGTTACCTCTGCTCCCATTTTATTTATCCTTGGGTTTGACTTTTATTCCTTTGTTCTCATTGTAATGCTTTAAGAGATAGCAGAGGTAAAGTACATGTTCAATCCATTGCATTTAAATAGAAGTCTCCGAATTATTTTTTAATTCCTCATCTGGAATTGTCTTTGTAGCATATATACCGATGACATGGACATACTAGTTTTCTTTCTTTACCCCTTGATTTTTTGCTACTGGTAACTTGAAATGATAGTCCTGACCTGTCAAAGAGGGAATTTGCTATTGCTGGCCTACCACTGAGAAATCCTAGGCAAGGGGCTTGGGAAAAGACAATGATATGATGGGAGCATTTTGTAAATACATCAAGAAACAAACCGACTAATAAAAATTCATGTGTGTGCTGCCTACCTGTGGTAAGTGGGTGTAACTGACAGAACTATAAATATAAATTGCCCTAATTTGGGTAATACTATAGTATTATAATTTACTTATTTAATGGTTCCAGGGAAGACTTCTTGAATATATTCACATAATGTTGGAGGAACATAGTTCTTAACAAATCTAATATTAATGATAGCCACACCCTTCTTTAAGGCTTAGAGTTAAATAATACTGAAAAGTAGATCTCGTAAAAACAGTGAAGGAAGAAGCCTTCAAGTAAATCAAAAATAAGATCTCACATCTGTGCATTATCCCATTTAATTACATTGAATAACAGTGATGTCCAATAGCAGTAGGCTATATAGACCTTTATCCCTACCACCATAATTCTGAGTTCTGGATATATCTAGGACTGATTGATCAGATCAGGCCATTTCAAGAAAGTGAATAATAACCCAAGAATGGCCTGAGGGAAATTAGTGGGAGAGTGTGATTTAAAATAACTGTTCTAGGGCTTAGTGAACCAAACAGTCCATAGTAGGATATTGCCCCATTTTGGAAACTAAGAATAATGGTAATACTTCCTCAATTTCCTTGGGATTATATCAGGCCTCTCACTGATCTTTTAAACTGAATTAAGATTCTTCTGGCCTGTATTAGATATATTTATATATCTAGGCTGAATATGAATCAAGCCTAGGGAGTAATTTGTTTTCTTCCCCTTTGCAGAAGAAGTAACTAATGAGAAATGTCTTTATTTTGATGGGATGTTGGTTACATGGCTATATACATTTCTTAAAACTCATCAACCTTTTCACATAACATGCATACATTTTATTGCATGTAAATTATACCCCCATCAGGTGATTTAAATGGATATCTTGTGGACTTTTGAAGATTTTCTCCTACTTAAATTACTTCATGTAGCATAGTGACTAAAAGCTAGTAAAATTATGCCACTAATAAGCCATTTGACATGGATTTCTGTGACTTCTCTTAAGCTTTAATTGTCTGGTCTGGATAATTGAGATTTTAACAGCGTCTGCTTCAGAGTTGTAAGGATTAAATTTTTTAACTGCATATAAAATACTTAGCATAATACCTGGCACATAGTAGATCCTCATTATGTAGTGGCTGCAAATTATTATAAATATAACAATTACTATTTACATTGTCATTTCTCCTTTGATTTCTCTTTTTATAATATTTTCACAGAAAACCCATATAGACAGCTGCCCTGTAACTGTCATGGAAGCATGCCTGGAAAGACAGCGATAGAACTTGGACCACTATGGTATGTGCTTAAGCATAGTAATATACAGATGGTCCCCAACTTGGGATTTTTCGACTTTATAGTGGTGCAGAGGCAGTACACATTCAACAGAAAGTGGATTTCAAATTTTGAAATTTTCCTAAGCTTAGCAAAATGCGATAGTCTTCTCTCATGATATTGGGCAGTAACAGGAAGCCAGTCAAGTCATGAGGGTCAACAACCAGTACACTTACAACCATTTAGTTTTTCACTTTCAGTATAATATTCAGTAAATTACATGAACTAGTCAGTATTTTTTTATAAAATAGGCTTTGTGCTAGATGATTTTGCCCAACTGTTTGCTAATTAAAGTGTTTTCTGAGCACGTTTAAGGTGGGTTAGGCTAGGCTGTGATGTTCAGTTAGTCTATTAAATATTTTTAAGATTTTATTTGAGAGAGAGAGCGAGCGCACAAGCAGGGAGGAGGGGCAGAGGGAGAGGGAGAAGCAGGCTCCCCGCTGAGCAAGGAGCCCAATGCGGGACTCCATCCCAGGAGTCTGGCTGGGATCATGACCCAAGCCGAAGGCAGATGCTTAACTGACGGAGCCACCCAGGCGCCCTATTAAATGCATTTTCAATTTAAGACATTTTCAACTTACCTGGGTTTACACAATTCCATCATAGGTTGAGGAAGATCTGTATCCAAAATTGATTTATATATTGATTTGATTTTTGATTATGTGTAGTAAAAGACAAGCAAATTTCAATTTAATTTTTAAGTCTAGTCAAATAATTAGGACTCTTCTACCCCTATGAACCTGAGGTGTTTTTTGTTTTCAGATTTTTCTATACCATTATTCTCACAAGTTTGCAATAGTGCTAAGAGACAGTGGGATCAAAGAGAGAAGCCTGGCTGATCTGCAAAGTAGATAATTCATTTCTGAATGATAAGAATGAGGCTTTTTTCAGTTGAGTTTGTAGAACTAGGGTGTGATTATGAAGTAATCACCATAACTTTTTATAGAAGAGTCAACTAATAAGAGAGGTCTTCAAGAAAGTAGTTTTAAGTGAGAAGGGCTTGTGAAAGTAAATGTCTTTGTTTTAGGTAAAGCTATTTAGATGGGACTCAGCTGTAAATATTTGTGTTTTTGCATCATTAGTAAACTAGCTGTTGTGTTTTTAGTGACTTAAAGTTGAATTGTTTTTAATCAGAATCCTTACTTTTAGGTTGTTACTAGAGATTCCGATAGAAATTTGGGATTCCTAACAATACCGTGACAAGAATCATTGCAGATTTCTACCTTGTTTATAAGTTCAAGGTTTAGTCATCCACTAAACCTAAAAATTAACTCAAATGGTAAATGTTTGTACTGATGCCCATTATTTTATCTTTATCTCATGTATATATTCTTAAACTAAGAATGACTTAACCTTTCCTATAGCACCTGCTACATGTTGTTCTTAATCTCCTGATCTCAGAACTGGGGAAATTAGCAAGTTGCTGGATCCAGATCGAAGATCTAGCCCACCTCCCTCATTTTACAGATGAGAAGATTATGGCAGTTTTTAAGTGCTGGCTGAAACTGACCCCCCAAAATTAGTACAGGCAAGGCCAGAACTCAGGTTTTTTGATTCCAGCACCGAGTTGTAAGCCATGTCATAGGATTTCCTCACTCAAAACCACTGTTCATGTCTTTACTCTCATGCAGTCTCTTCCCCTTTCGCCAGTTCCAATTATAATTGTGTTCCTTGGGGCACCTGGGTGTCTCAGTCGTTAAGCATCTGCCTTTGGCTCAGGTCATGATCCCAGGGCCCTGGGATCGAGCCCCGCATCGGGCTCCCTGCTCCACAGGAAGCCTGCTTCTTCCTCTTCCACTCCCCCTGCTTGTGTTCCCTCTCACTCGGTCTCTGTCAAATAAATAAAATCTTTAAAAAAAAAAAAAAGTGTTCTTCATGAAGTCTCTCTTCAGTGCTTTAACCCAAAATTATCTCAAAATTCCATTTTAGTAAATCTTACATTGATCATTCGTTTGACACTTTAAAATCGTATATCCTTTTCTATATCTTTGCTAGCCTAATATCTTTCATTGAGGATATACTTTGGACTAATGATTTTATGTGTGCTATCTCATTAATTCCCATAACAATTCTGAGAAGTTTTTCTATTTTATGATGAGGAATAAGACTCAAAAGCACTAATTACTCAAGATTACATAGGTAGAAGTGGTGGAGCCAGGATGAGAATCAAGGTTTTTTGTGTTTTTTTTAAAGATTTTACTTATTCATTTGAGACACAGAGATAGAAAGCAAGAGCAGGGAGAGAGGCAGAGGGAGAACCAGGCTCCTTGCTGAGCAGGGAGCCCGATGTGGGGCTCGATCCCATGACCCTGGGACCATGACCTGAGCCAAAGGCAGACGCTTAACCATCTGAGCCACCCAGGCGCCCCGAGAATCAAGGTTTTATCAGACTTACCCTTGTGCCATGTTTTTAACAAAATCACCATTACAACATCTCATTCTCCTCTGTCTACTCCTGCCCACCCCACCCTACATGTACACAGTGGATTGAGATTTTACTGACAGGAATATGCTTTATGAAAACTTCTGTATCACACTATGTGCCTGTCTAGATTCATAGGCTTTTATAGGGCAAACACTATTTTATACTTTGGTATATCCTACACGTCCCCATGTACCACAGGGCTATATACCTTACACTGTATATGAGGGTTCAATAAATTCTTTGTTGATTTACTTTGAATGAAATTTCCATGAATAATCCCATTAATTTAGAGAACTAACATGATAAAAGGAGTGGGAAAATAGAAATTTTTTTAATTTCAGTATTTACTCCATCCTGTAATTAATATCTTAGTTGTAGTTAAATTATACTTTTTTAATAGACATTTCTCATACTCAGTTCTCTATATTTTCTTTTTTTCAGGTCAAGTTCCCTTTTCAATACTGGATTCCTCAAAAGAATGCTATTTGAATCTTTTCACCATGGTTTAGATGACATTCAGACCCTAATAAAGACATTAATCTTTGAATCAGAGTGTACTCCTCAAAGTCAGTTTTCAGTTCATGCACCTTCAAATCTCAACAAGCAAGGTGATTAACTTATATTCAAGGCCTGAATGAATTAACAATTTTATTAAGATGTGTGTATATACATACTTTTCCCCTAATTTTTAGTAGATTAAAAAAACTAAAAGTCTGTTGTGATTTTATTACCCTGTATCTGCTTTCTAGAAAGAGAAACCATAGGTAATTCTGAGAGTAGTGTGGCCAAAATTTCATAATATCCACTGAGACACGGAGGCTGTTTACACTTACTACTCATTAAAGCTGTTTTTTGTCCTTTATTTTCTCTTTAGTATAAATAGGCTTTTGTAGTTTTATTGGGCTGTTGATAAAAGGGTGGAACTATTAGACATTCTAGTATTCTCCTAAGTCGTTAAAAGCAGCAGTTATTGTTAGATGGTTAAAAAAAAATTCTTACAATCTTTTTACACAGTCTCATATTTCATAAAAGCAATATGGATAGAATTTATAGAATTTAATAAGCTTTTATTTAAACTTTGAATTGTTGCTTAATGTTATCCTGTAAAATATTTTGTTATTCCCATTTGTTTTATTTTAGAAGAATATGGTGTGTTTATTAAAACTACAGATGATACCACAACAGATAATTACACTGCACAAGGTATGTATGTATGTGTGTGTATATATGTAAATATGTATCTATCAGTACAAAAACACAGTAAAAGGGCAGGAAGAGAAGAGATTGCTTTGGTGGCCTACTCTAAAATGCTTTTTCATTATACGGACAATCTAATTATAGTAAAACTTGTTTATCTGGCATTTGCACTGTTCACAATTTCTATTAACATGTACTTGTTCTCATCTCTAATATATGGTGATCCCCTTGAAAGAACTGTAGGACCTTGAAGAACCATGTGAACCAAACTAAGACCAAATTATATTTGATAGCTATAAAGATTAATTATTCTAATTCTTTAAACTTTCTCATCAGCATATGATTTATTATTTTTAAGATTTTATGTATGTATTTAGTTGTTTGTTCAGAGAACAAGCAGAGGGAGAGAGAGAGCAGCAGACTCCCTGCTGAGGAGGAAACCTGATGCTGGGCTCGATCCCAATACCTGGAGATCATGACCTGAGCCAAAGGCAGACGCTTAACTGAGCAAACCAAGCATCCCTCAACGTATGATTTATAATAATTCCATTAATTAACTAGACAACCCTGTTCCCTAGCCATAAGAATTTACTGTATGGCCTTATAATTTCAGATGTGTGCCTGTACACTTTAAAATACGGTTATATGAGGCATTGCAGATTTCCTTTCAAAAGGATTTTAAGATTTATATAAAATGTCAGTGCCTTAATGTCTAAGGTTTTGTTTCGCTTTTTAAAAGACAACTTAGGGGGCGCCTGGGTGGCTCAGTGGGTTGAGTGTCTGACTCTTGGTTTTGGCTTAGGTCATCATCTCAGGGTCATGAGATTGAGCCCCATGTCAGGCTCCACATTCAGCATGAAGTCTGCTTGAGATTCTCTCAGCCCCTCCCCCTGCTCTCTCTCCAGTAAATCTTTAAAAAAATATATATGGTTTAATAACTACTATATGCTCTTTCCAAGAGTCATGTTCAGTTGGCATCTTCAACTAGTTTTCTAACATTCAAATTACCTAAAATGATTCTTCTACTTAATTTCTCTGTTGGAGGGAAAAGGTTATGGTACATTGCAAAAAGCGTTAGATTTAAGAGCATCATTTTACTTCTGTTTATTGTATAACTTCAGCCAGGCCACTCACCTTCAGCAAAAGTGTCTTAAATCCTCTTTAGAGTAAGGTAAAACGTAAGTTTTAAAATCTTTAAAGTCTCTGAGCCTTTTTTATATATAGATTAAGGGAATTAGACTAATCTCTGTGAGTTCTATAGCTCTAAAATTATTATTCTAAGACTGACCAACATTTAAACCTTTCATGATAAAAAATATCAGGCCAAAAATAGTCATTATAAAGGTATTATATCTGATTTTGTGTATATGTGTTTCAGGAAAGAGAAAAGGTAATGAAACAATCACAACTTTAGCCAAAAGGCAAAAGACTGATGTCAGTACTGAACATCCTCCCTTTTATTACAACATCCACAGACACAGCATTAAAGGAATGAATATGCCAAAGTAAGACAGCCAGTGAATGGCAAAATATATATTTCATATTTTAATGACATTATGATTTAAATAAGATACAGAATCTCATTTTTTTTTCCCTTTCCTTGCTGCAGGTTAAAAAAGTTTTTGTGCTATCTTTCTCAAGCAGGCTTTCGAGTAAGCCGAACTCATTTTGACCCAATGGGTGTTCGTACAGATGCACCCCTGATGCAGTTTAAATCAATCCTTTTAAAGTACAGCACCCCTACCTACACTGGAGGACAGTCGGAGGGCCATGTCCAGTCAGCGTCCGAAGATACAGTAGCTGACAGGGTTGAAATGTCAGTGAGTGACAAAGCAGAGGCAGACAGTTGCGGAAGATGGTAAATGGAGAGGAGGTATTCAGATGTCCGTATAGATGCCCTCATAGTTCTCTATACCAACTGTAGTTCTTTTTCTATTCTTTTAAATCAGTGGTGTAAAAATAAAAAACAGTGCTGTTTTCATTCAGAAAATTAGCAGTTTCTAACTTAGTTTGGGAGCTACGCTTTCCAGGTTTTTCTTACTGTAAAGAAAACTTAAAAATTTTAATGAAAACATTTCATATGAAGCCAGGTTTATGACTGAGATCACCCCACCATTTAGTAATGCAGAAAACTTGCCCTTGCAAAGTGTTTGGAATTTTAGGTCTGTTATGGAAGCCATCCTTGACTGTTCTTAATCACACGTCTACTTAAGGTGATTCATCTTTGTTTTTGTTTGTAGCACACAAAATGAAGCCAGAAGCCTTTTACATATGAAATTACCCTGAATAGAACAATGTCCTTTCACATCACTAATGCTATCTCACAATTACAAAGCTAAAATGTGTTCCCAATTTTAAGAAATCATACTTCTTTCCATTTTTTAACTTACTACTAGCTTTTGAGAATTTAAGTACTTGCCTGAGATAGAAATACATTTTTCTTATAAGTTAGGTCTAGATGACTCAAGTCAGAGTATGATTTTGTCAAAGTAAATTGAGACCACTGTTCTAATATAATTGTTCATAAGCACTGAAATTCTGAAGAGAGTTTTTACTGTAAAATTGGGTGATCTCAAGTGCCTCAGTTAATGCACGTACAATATTCATTTGGTTGTGCTACCTCTCAGAAGTAAAACTTGTCAGCGTATGAACTTTTGAAGTGAGGATTTTTGGGGGGGTGGGGAGGGATAGATTTGTTTTCGGTGTGTGTATGTGCTTTTTTTTTTTGTATAAGTAGCCCAGGCTAACATGACTATGAAAATTGGTAGAAACTCCATTAATAAATATTGTTTTTGCTTCATTTGAATGTAAGAGTTTGGATAAAAGGACTTGGTATAAAGTTTAGATTTTTCTCAAGGACTTAATCCCTGTTTACCCTTAAGTATTTCTTAGAGGAAGTAACTTTTTACAAGTATTATTGGCTGGGGGGATGGAAGAGGGAGTTAGAACTGAAAGATCTTAAAACACTATATAAGAAAAAAAGCAAGGACGCCTGGGTGACTCAGTCAGTTAAGCATCTGCCTTTGGCTCAGGTCATGATCCCAGGGTCCTGGGACCGAGCCCCACATCATGGTCCCTGCTCAGCTGGGAACCTGGCCCCTCCCTCTCCCTCTCCGTGCCCTCCCGCTCATGCTTGCTCTCTCTCTCAGATAAATATAAATAAAATCTTAAAAAAAAAAAAAACACCCATGACATACACAAAAATCCAGGGAGTGAGGTTAACACAGTATATTAGCAGAAATAAAAAAAATCTGTTATTACAGCATAGTTCTAGCAGAATATTTCTTTTCTCCCATTAACAGAATCATGTTTTATTTAAAGGAATAGGTGAAGTGCAAGTTAGTTTCTATAATGACCATAAAAAAACTAGTTCCTGGGCGCCTGGGTGGCTCAGTTGGTTAAGCAACTGCCTTCGGCTCAGGTCATGATCCTGGAGTCCTGGAATCGAGTCCCACATCGGGCTCCCTGCTCAGCAGGGAGTCTGCTTCTTCTCCCTCTGACCCTCCTCCCTCTCATGCTCTCTCTCATTCTCTCTCTCACAAATTAATTCTTAAAAAAAACAACTAATTCCTGCCAATTCAAATTATTACTCACAAATGAGCACAAAAAGAAATAAAAGTTACTAGTTACTTTGGTTTATGTAGTTAAAAATTACTATAAATCCAGAATTCAAACCAGCACGTGGACCATCTGATCTAGTACATATTGTTAAATTGAATTATCAAAGTTTGCTAAATGCTTATCAGCATAACATTTTGATCAGTGATAAAGTTGGGTTTTATGCCAGGAGCCTAATTTGATATCAATATTAATTACTGTTATTTAAAATATATCTATTAATTTCACATACACATATTTTCCAAAGAAGGTATGGTGGGAAGTAGTTTTAAGAACTCTGTTAAGGTAACATATCAATCTACAGAGGAAATAATTTTAAAATTCCAAATGCCACATTAGCACCTTATTCCTTTCCATAACAACTGTATTAGCTTGGGACACACAAATGTTGACTGCATTGTAAAGTAACATGAATGTATCCCTCCATTAAAATTTGATTAACACAAGAAACCAGTTTTTACTCTACCATCAGGAAACCAGTGTGTTGACTCTGCTAGTCGCTTACATTACTACTCTAACCATACACTTGGGATATAGTAGGAGAAGGAAAGAAGAAATGGGTTTGGGAGCCAGTGTGGTAGAATTGCATTAAAACTCCATTTATCACTTGAGTTCAGTCAAGACTCCACTCTGAACAAATGTATGATGATGTTCTGGTTTCCAGAAAGAACTGGAGACCAGTTTAGTAATCCCAAAGGCCTAGGAATCTCTTTCCTCAGTGCATTATTGTTCTGCTAAATGGCCACAAGTTACTTTGGAGAAGGCTAAGAGGAAGATACATATTACATCTTTGTGATGTTATGGCAGGGTCCTTTACACCAAAGTGCTCTGGGAATATGAATTAAATCAGCCCTGGGAATTGCTAAGGGATCATGACTAATACAATGGTTCCAGATCTCCATCGACAGATAAATGGATAAAGAAGATGTGGTATGGGGACGCCTGGGTGGCTCAGTTAAGCGTCTGCCTTCGGCTCAGGTCATGATCCCAGTATCCTGGGATTAAGTCCAGCATCGGGCTCCTTGCTACACAGGGAGCCTGCTTCTCCCTCTGCCTGCCGCTCCCCCTGCTTGTGCTTGCTCTCTCTTCTTCTCTCTGACAAATAAATCTTAAAAAAAAAAAAAAAAAGGGGTGCCTGGGTGGCTCAGTTGGTTAAGCGACTGCCTTCGGCTCAGGTCATGATCCTGGAGTCCCGGGATCGAGTCCCGCATCGGGCTCCCTG